ATCTCTATTCTAAACAAAATTAAGAAATAATTTTGTCACCATTTACTCCATACAGATTAAAGCAAATTAAGGACAACAAAAACAAAAAGGGATTGATTGGAAATTTGACTTAATTGTTGGAACCTCACAAGATAAATTAGTTTCAAGTTTTTTTTTTCTTTTCATAACGGTGATATGATTTATTTTTTTAAGTAACTCTATATACTATTGCTTGAATAAAAGAAAAAGTCATGTATCGTAAACCTTATCATTTTCAATTATTTTATCAATTACAAGTAAAACTTACCCGCATGGATGTATACACCCGATGCGGATAAATTTTTTCCGTTGAATACACGCTTGATTGCTTATTTCCTACTAGGATGGTACACGTTTTGGATAAAATGAATCAAATTGAAAAATCAAACAAAACTGATTAAACAGAGCAATTTTATTTGGGTTTAGTCTAATTTGGCTTTACATTTTAAAAATAAATAAAATTTGATTTGATTTACTTTTTATAATTATACTAGTAAAGAAAGTCCGGGCGCTACCCGGGCCCAACATTAATAAAGTTATATTGTTACTCTCTCCGTCCCATATTAGATGAAAATCTTACTAAAAAAAAAAATTCATATTATTTGAGCACTTATTAAATTAGGATAGAATTAATTAATTCTTTTCCATTTTACCCCTACAATTAATATGACCATTCCTATATTGTATGTGTATTTTTTGTAACTCATTTCAATGTGCATTGATATAAACAAAGGGCAAAATGGTGAAGTCTTTCAATTTATTAATGATTTCTTAATCACCGTGTAAAGTTGGAAATGCCCATCTAATATGGGATAGAGGAAGTATAGTTTATGTATTGTTATAAAATTAGTAAAGATTGTTATAATATATTTTGCTCATAAGTGAGCTAATATAGAAACTTATTTGTCATTTGTCTTTTTAATTTCAATTTTAAATAGCAAATAAATGTAGCGATAAGATTGAGGGTAGAAATGAAGCATATCTTTCTAAATTTAAGTAAAAATAAACATAGTAGAAGTAACATTAGGGTTATCGATAGGACGATTCATTCGGTTATTTTTAAAAAAATTATATCATTCAATTTTTTGGCTATTTTATAATGTATAACCAAAATTAAAATTTTAAAATCATCCCAATCTTAATTTATGTGACACAAGCAGTACAAAAATTAGTCTTTTTTTTGTTGTCTTGTAGATATTTTAAGTTATTATTTATTGTAAATTATAGTACTTTTTATTAAAGTTTTTAATAACATATGTTACTTTTTATGTTTTAGAGTTAAACCAACTTTTTTTTATATGTCTTTTAATTTTTCATGTGTTTTGTCCTTTTCCATTTTGAAAAATCAATACTCTCTCCATTTTATTGTATATGTCATTTCTTTTTATAAATATATTGGTTATTCCCTCTTCTTATTGAAACACATGTTGACTTGTGGTGAATACTTATCCCCTCTTCTTATATGGTAATATACCTAACATATTATTTCTGATGAACAATTATAAAGAAATAAAATTAACAATGTTTATGTTATTTTTCGAAATACCAAAATGACGAAATTTGATTTATTTCTCTCTTAGAAACATACCTAAATGACTGTTTTTTTTTTTTTTCATCTGGTGTTTGGAGCCCATATTAGAGCTTCGATTAAATTTGAATCGTACACTACAAGTTCATTGGGGGGTGGCGCTCCCAACAAAATTTTCTTTATACTCATGGCTTGAATCTGAGACCTTTGATTATCAGTGGCGGACCTAGAATTTTCACGAAGTGGATTTAAGATATTAAAAAAACTAAAATGTGGCATCAGAGATTCGAACTCAGGTTGGCTGGTAAAATTGAGCTCTCTTCACCACTCAGCCAATGATCACACTTGTGTTAGTGGGGTCAAAAGTTATTACATAGATGTAAAATTTTAAAAATTGATTATTTATATATATATATATATATATATATACGATGTTATTTTTCAATGAAATGGTTCATTTGAACCCACTTGTCCCACGGTAGGTTCATCCCTGCTAAATATGGTTGAAATATTCTCACTATTGCACCAAAATCCATGTTGGTAATCAAAGAGATGTTAATTTCTCTCGAAAGCTCGAACAATACATTGATGATTGAAGTAGACCCAAATCCATATATTTCGCCGGGTAACAAACATCTGGTCCCAACGTTCCTGTTAACTATACCATACAATACACCTATTACTAGCATTTATTAAATTAATTAAATGCACCCTATCACATATGGCATTAAAAAAAAGTTTACAATATATTATTTTTAAAAAATGTCACATAAAAGCATTATTACAATATGAATTTTCTATCTTACAACTGACATTGCCAATTCTTGCATCACCCATTTCATTTTATATTTTCCTTGCAAAAAATCATTTTTGTTATTTTCTAAGCATTGAAAAAACCCTACATAACAAAACCTGATTCCCATTTGTCATTTTTCTTTAATCTGCAATTACCTTATCACTATCACCTGCAACGGAAGCAGAAGCAGCAAGAAAAAGCCCTACATTAACCCCACTCCATTGTCTTCTTCCTCCTATCTATCCCTCTGTGTTTTTTTTTGTTGTTGTTGTTGAACATTACTAGTATTCATCAGCTAAAGGAAATTAGCAAATACCCATATGGATTTTTCATATTGTTCTCCTTCACATTTCATTCTTAGTTTCTGTTTTGCTCTCCTCATTTTATCCAGAGGTGAAAAACAAAACTCATTCTTATGCCATATGAAAAGTATTTTCTGTTATTTAGACTATATACTAATGCGACATTGTAACTGTATATTTTTTTCTTTTTCAGGTGTTTTAGGGGCTACATTTACATTTGTGAACAAATGTGAGTATACAGTATGGCCAGGGATTCTAGCAAATGCAGGTAGTCCAACTCTACAAAGTACTGGGTTTGAACTTCCCCAAGAGTCTTCACGTGTATTCACTGCACCTACTGGTTGGTCTGGTAGGTTTTGGGGTCGAACTAGTTGCTCTTTTGAGGGATCCGGGTCGAGTTCTTGTGGAACTGGGGATTGCGGTTCCGGTGAGGTAGAATGTAACGGTGCAGGAGCTGCTCCGCCTGCTACTCTAGCGGAGTTTACATTGGGTACTGGTGGGCAGGATTTCTATGACGTGAGTTTGGTGGACGGGTACAATTTACCCATGGTGGTAGAAGCGTCGGGAGGGTCGGGTATGTGTGCGACAACGGGTTGTGTGACGGATCTGAATCAAATATGTCCTTCCGAGCTGAGGAGTGGCGGTGGAGATGCGTGTAGAAGCGCGTGTGAGGCGTTTAACAAGCCGGAGTATTGCTGCAGCGGCGCGTATAATACACCTGCAACTTGTAAACCGTCACTGTACTCACAGATGTTCAAATCTGCTTGTCCAAGATCATACAGCTATGCTTATGATGATCCTACTAGCACTTTCACTTGCAGTGGTGCTGATTATACCATCACATTTTGCCCCTCTACCCCAAGGTAAAAAAAAAAGTTATTCCTTTCGTCTAAATTTTTGTGACATAATTGAAATTTCGAGACTCATGACACTAACTATACTTTATACTTTCTTGATTTTATTAGAGCTCCAACTTGTACTATAGAAGAAGATTATTTATTTCGAACCAATGTCCAAATTTAGCTAAATAAATGACCCTAAAGTATAGTAGAAGTTAAAGTTAGTTGAATAAAGAGTGTTATTAGTAGATAAATTTCATTTTTGATACTCCATTAGTGCATAACACATGCAATGTTTTTGGTCACGGGGGAATCTGACAACAGGTTGCAGTGAGTGAGTGAATGATTGTATTTGTATGGGTTGTAATTAATTACTACTACTACATTGATTTTGACATTTAGCTAATATTGCAGTCAAAAATCTACAAAAGATACAACACCTACGACAGCAACACCCAATGGTGATGGGTCATATGGTGGTACTGGTACAGGAGTTGTGGACCCTGCAACAGGAGGAATCGGGTCAAGTTCGGGTCAAATGGGAACTGGATCAGGCACTGGGTTTGAGTACGGTGCAGGAACAGGATATGGGTCAGGGTCAGAATACGGGTCAGGAACCGAAACACAACCTGGATCCGGGTCACAAGCTATGCTAGCAGATGGATCATATTTAGCTGGATTGGCTATGGGAGAATCAACTAGGGCATTTTCTCCATTGAATTTAGCAGGCAGTGCTTTGGCTACAACTTTGGTTTCATTAATTTTCTTGTAGTTGTAATGGGGAGTGGTAATTTTTTTTTTTTTCTTGCCTTTTGTCTAGTAAAGCTGATAGATTCCTCCAGATTGTAAGCCACCACTTTCTATAAATTAATCTTCTTTTTTAGCTATGAATCTCTCTTTTTCTCTTGTTGTTGTAATTGGCCATATTTTTCCTTTTTTTAATGTGTATATTGTAATGCAATATTCTTTATCCCCCAGCCCTTTTCATTATCCAAGATTTTGTTGGTGAGATTTGCAATTATTAAGTAGCATAATATACATTGATATTGGGGTTGGATTTTAACTTTACCTTTGATTTGGGGCTCTAGAAATTATTAAATATTTTGAAAAAGTGAGTATTATAATGTGAAATGTAGAATATAGAGAAAATGGCTGGGCCAGCACTGGGCGATAAAACTGACTTTGCGGAAATCACAAGCATGGCTTTTATTACTTTTGACTGCCTAAATTTGTATTGCCTCTAGTACTTAGGGGTCGTTCAGTGTGAGGGATAAAAATATATAGTCATGGGATAAGAAAATAGTAATAGGATAAAAATTTTGTGTCTTGTTTGGTTGTCATGTTTGGGATAACTTATCCCACCATATGTATGATGGGATACGTTATCCTATATACATGGTGGATAAGGTATAACAGTATATTAATAGTGTTCAATTTTAGAGAAATATTTAATATTTCTATTGAAATAGTCAAAGTGTGTGCAGACACACAATTCATCTGAGTAATATCATTACAAGTTACAACTGAATATTTATGTGCCTGGTGTCATCTCCTCTGTATAATGAGAATGTTGAATTAACTGTTCTGTTTCCAAATTTGACATTGATTTTATACTCACCTAAAAAACCAGAAAAGCTAAATGAACCATGTTCATCAGTTTCACCATGCACCACACCAGTTTGCCATTCTTTCAGCAAATTATCAATTATGTCCCCAGCAGGAAGGTTATGAAAATTGTTATCTGTTAAACACATTTGATAACATCCATTAGAATGTAATCCTGTCCAAAGCATGATTCCATTTACACCTGGATGTGAAAATCCCTCTCTCAAAACCATCTCTAGATATTTAGCCTGTCATCAAATTCATAAAAAACTATTACCATCAAATCTTTAATAATATTTCCTTCGTATTAATTTGTTTGTCTGGTTTTGATTTGACAAGTAGTTTAAGAAAGTAAAAAAGTATTTTGAACCGATTTTACTGTTATAGTAGGTGAAGTACCCTGACCTGAGTTTCTTTATCAAGATTCTTGCTGATATCAACTTCTGTAAGCCATATAGGAAGTTTAAGTGTAGCCAATTTGTCTAACACTGCTCTAATAAGTGGAGGATTTGGTACTGTAAAATGTCCTTCTAGGCCAATTCCATCCATGATTATTCCACCTTGTTTTAAATCTCTCAACTTGGAAATGTATGCATCAACTGTTGAATTCATGTCATAGCAAGTTTCTACAACATTATAGTCATTCACAAACAATTTGGCCAAGGGGTCTAACAGTTGTGCTGTTTGAAAAAACTCAAGACTTGTGTTGGTGCCAAGTCTTTGTTCATAGAAATCATAATGAAGCATCTCGTTATCGACATCCCAATGAATGAATTCATTCTTGTATTTGTTCATCAAACTCTGTATCCTGGAGTTTACAGCTGATTTAAGGTCTGGACCAGTCAGGTTTCGAACCCATGAAGGAATGTATCTCGGATCCTCCCAAAAAATGTTGTGGCCTCTGGTAATGATTTGGTTCTTTCGGACAAATTCCAGCATTTGATCAGGTATTGTATAGTTCACTTCTCCTTGTTGAGGTTCTGTTGAATACCACTTCAATTCATCTTCAAAAACCGCGGCATTGAACCTCTCTTTAAACCATGTCTGTAACAAGTATTTTTAGTACTAAACAACACTTTTTTAAGTACTGAAACTGATTTTGTAAATAAGCAGTTATGTATTTATCTAGAAGTGTTGAAACTGATAATAAACATAGCCAAAAAGTGATTGTAACAAACTAACATCAAAATTTGATCAGCATTTTATTACCTGATATGCTGGATTTCCAAGAATTGTCTTTGTGATGGCAGAACCAAATGGAAAATCTCTAGATACTTGCTCTACTATGATTGAAGCTCCAGGCACTCTTTCTCCTTGCACGTCTGAAATGTGTATAATCGCGGTGCATTTTCTTCCCTTTAGCAGAACTAGTCAGTAAATGAAACTCACAATGTATGTTACCATAAAACTGAAGATGCTAAAAGCCATAGAGTTTCAGGAGTTTACTTTGTCGATCGTGTCTTGTTGGTTTTTCTTCCATTGTTGATAAGTAAATGGCTGCAACGAAACACTAGAAATCGAGATGTTTAACTTTTCTTCATCTGATCTCTGCACCAAAGTTTACTATAATTTGTACCACTCAAACAATTGCATAAAAATTAACTCAATACCTGAAGTTATCGTCTTAATAAGACATACCTGGAGATAAAGTAGAGCATATGAAGAAGGAAAATCAAGAACAAATCCACCCTTCAAAAATGACCAGCAACCAGGCCTAGCAATCACATTTCCTACACACTTAACTGTTCCATTAGCTGTTTTCAAGCTTGCCTTTATCACTGCTGAATCTGCATCTAATATCCTAACCCAACCTAATAACAAACACGACGATCAATAAATACTAGTACTACATTTCAAGTTTTTAGAATGCCTAAGTGATGAATTTCCACTACAACTTAACTGGAGAAGCTATAGATGGTATCACCAGAGAGATTGTTGAGGACAAAGTTATACGAATTAGTTTCAGATCGAATGACTTGATTTTCGTTTGTCCAATAATCCTTCATTATCCCACCATTATAAAGCGCCTCTTCTGGCACTGATTTACACTAAAACAAATGAAATTAAGTAACTTAAAACGCGATAATAATAATAATCGTTCTTAAAACAGAACTAAAGGAAAATGTTACCTCAGTATATGCAGAGTGATCATAAATAGGTTCCTCTGCATCATAAAAAAGTAGTTACAAACATAGAAAAATAACTGAACATAATTTTACAAAATGGAAGTATAAGAAATTTTAAAAAATATATTTTCATGGTCATACCATAAGAAGCAAAGGAGGGAAGTATGCTGAGAAAGAGTCCAATGATGAGTAAAAACAAGTATTGACACTTCATTTTTCTCTCAACAGAACAAAATAATAGTAAAATTGCAAAAAACCTTAGTACTAAATTCAATAAATAAAATGCCTCAAAGTCTTAACAGAAAATTAAATTTCATGTAAATTTATGTAAAACAGGATACATGAGATATCCAACAATATGTCTGTATTCTAAGTATCTCCGTGATCAATCACATGATTGAATACTATTTATTTTATTAACTTTGGAATGTTTTTGGAAAATGTTCCTTGGAATATTAGAATTTTTTTACGCTATTTCTAACATTTATAGTACAAAAGTTACCTAACATTTTTTTCATAAAATATGAAGTAAAGAAAATGACAAGAAGCCTGTAGTTTATGATGCCAGAATGCAGTATGTAGTAATCACATTATTTGAGTGGAAATGTAAGTTAGAAAACTCTTTAAATTTGTTATATAAAAATAAATCTGACTCTTTAGTTTGATGTACTACCTCTCTTTCATCAATTTATGTAGCGGTGTTTAATAAATATTTGTGTGACTATAAATTATATCATGAATTTGAAAACATGGTAACACTAATGTAGGTCAGTAGATGCTTAATTGATGATCAAGAACTAAATGACATGCTCTTTTGTATGATGTACTCCATCTGTCTCAATTTTTGTCATGGTACTCGACATGAGATTATTTATATCAATTAAAGTTTTTTTAAAAAAAAAATTATAATCTAAAACAAGTCATAAACTCTTGTATGACTATAAATTATGTAGGACGGTAAATGCTTTATTCATGATCAAGAAGTAAAATGACGTGCTCTTTATGTTGAAAAGCTAAGATTTTTTTAATTACTATTAACGAAATGAAGTTAGGTTCTCTGTTTTGTAACGAACATGACAATTGAATGCATTATAACAGAAATCAAACCCGTGACCAATTTTGACCTCACATGTTTGTTATCTGTAGCACTTTTCAAGAATTGGTGACACGAGCTCATGATATGAAATTAAGTATTGTGGTGGACCATTATATTGACCTCTGATGATGTTTTGTTAAACTATCAACGTGGCTACAAAAACAAATTGATTTGTGTTTTGAGCATCGAATAGCTTAAACCGTATTGTAAGTAACTCGAAAATGAAAGCAGAATTCATTAGAATCCTCCTGTTTTTTTCTTATTTTAGTTTTCTTTTGGATGAAATCCCCACGAAGTAACTCATTACTAATTTTTCAGTGTCAGGTTAAATTCTTATAAGTAAATGGACGTAAATCAATTGGGGAAGGAGGGCATGGTGTGGCTACTAATCTACTATCCTCTTGGGTGGTACGTAGTAAAAAAATATTTTTGTTTTGTTTTTGTAGCCATTAGAAGTTTTTCATCTCTTGGTCCCATTGCTATCATCCTGCATGTGTTTTTTCCAGTACTGGGCCAACTCCTAACAATTTAATCTGATATTGCATTATTTTGTGGGCTGTCATCATAGTTCAATACTTCAATGGCCTTGTCCACAATTTAAAATTTATGAAGAAATTACAAACTCTAACTGTACTAATGGTGGTCGATCTCAGTGACCCTTTGCTTCACCACGCCCAAGATGGAGGCAAAATGAGACGTAATATTTTTTTTTTGTATTAACATGGTAAAAATACCAATTCAATAGTTTTACAAGCTTAGTATAGTACAATGAGTTCAGATTTACTCAATACAAAGTAACAAAATCCTACTAATCAAACAAAGTTGACTTGTGCAAGTGGAAAGGGTATCATCAGCACACAATGTCCTATCAATCCTCCCACTTGAGTACCCAAAAGAGAATCATCAACAAATTCATCAAGACAATATAGTACTAGTCTTCTTGGCTTTCCTGCTTGTATAAATCTTACCATATAAACTCTTGGTTCTAATGGATAACCAAATATCCAAGCCAAACCCAACGATGCAAGCTATAGCCATAACTATGAATACAAGCCTGTAGCAGTGAGCACCTACACAAGTGTTACCACCATCAGCTGTTGTTGTAGCCTGAGCATCATATAACAGACCCGCAAGCAAACCAGAGAAGAGAAATGAGCCGAGTGGAAGGTTGAGAATTAGGACATTATAAATGAGACCGTAATATTTAAGACCAAAGAGTTCAGAAGCAGCTGGAACAGAAATGGCAAGACGAACTCCATAGCAAATTCCAACGACAATAGAGCCAATGTAGAGTGATCCTGGCATAGCCATTGCTAAACAGATGTATCCAACAGCCATCAGAATCTGTGAAGCCGCATTCCATATTGGCCTTGGCACTGCAGCTTTCCTGCAAATAAGGAAATTAACATCAGTATTAGTGGTGTGCACAGAATTTTATTGCAAGCGTGTGAGCCCTATTCGTCAAAACTAGCTTGGATTTGAGGTTGTAAGATTTACTCTCTCTCCAAATTGGTGTTAACATTGCATTACTTTTGGTACAAAATTGCCCTTAACGCTAAATTAACCTTATTAGCCAAGTATCAAAATAATAACCTCCCCTCTAGGGGTGAAACTAGCAAGGGACCAGCGTTCATCCGAACCTTCTTCAATGGATAATTTTTATATGTATAAAGTAGATTTTGAACCCTGTTGACTAATATTTGAAACATCCTAAATGAAAATCCAAGCTCCGGCATACTAAAGGTTGCTCTAGCTTGGATGTAAAAGGGCTCATGTTGTCCCAAAACTATTTGAATAAGACGAATATATTCTAATAAAATTCTCGATGCTATAAAAATATGGTTCTAAATTTCTACAATTCACCGTCCAAGTTGGAGAATCTAGACAATCTTTTTCCGACTAAAGAAAGATTTTCTTAAAAGCAATCTCAATTGGTCAGAAATTAAAGTGAAGGAAATAAAAGACAAGCACGGTCCACAACTTTTCGCAAGTTTTAATGCCGTGAAGACTAAAATATAGTATAGCTTGGAAGTTTCCCAAGAGAAGCTTATTGCTAATAAATACTATGAAAGGGAATATATTCTATTTTCTAATCTTTCTTAGGTCTTGTTGAAAATGTTGTTTATAGATAATCCATAACTTACATAAGCAAGTACTTCATAAAGGGTATTGGACTTTTTGAACTTCTTTCGCAGAAAAGCACATGAAAGTCAGACAATTTATCTCCCACCAATTTACCCCATCAAAAAGAAAAGTCCTATTGGCCTAATTTACCCACCAACTTATGCCCACTTTCGTTCGGCTTTTTTTTACTTCACACGAAATTTTAAAAAATAAATTTTTTTTATGAATCCTGTAATTTTAAATTAATGATATCTTTATTAGTGTAGTTTTAAATGTAGAAAGTTGAATGTAAAGAATGTCTAACAAATACCACTATTTTTGGTTTTGGATCTTTCAAATTATTCCCGCAGGAGATCTTGACCCATTTTTTTCTGATCCTTCGAGAAAAAGATTCATTCCCTTCATAAAAAATAGGAGGCAAAATATTTTTATTTTCTAGCACAGATTTGTCAGTGAAAAGATTAAATTGATTCAACTAATGTTTTCTCGAAGATAAAAATGAAAAGAGTCATTTTTTTTAAGGGGACTAATAGAAAAATAAATCAAACAAATTAAAACAAAGAGAGTAACTACTACCCATTTGATAAAAAGAAGTAATCTTATACAAATAGCTAGATGAATTTACTGTTAACTTTTCTTAGCTAGTATATACAAATTATAAAGTATATGATAGACCTATATTATATATAAACTATAGATATACTCTATTATATATATCTATAGACTATTTTTAAGTTAAAGCAATTTAGCTTAGAAGGGAAAAGAGAAACGGAAGTTCAATCAAATGCCATAAGTTGATTTCAATTTCTTCCAACCAAACAATAACTTTCAAGTTTAAATAAGTTGCTTTTGAGGAAATACTCCCTTCCTTTTGTTTCTATAGTTACAAAAAGACTGTCGAAAGGGAATCCTCAACAAAACTACCTTCAAGTACACCTAAACTTGAGATTTCCATAATCAGCCAATTAGCCAAATGCTTTGAATTGAAAATGAAGTACGATTAATTTAACGCAACGTGCTAATATAGGGCTATTTTGGCTTTAAAATACCTTTAGTCCAAACCGGCTCAAAATCAAGCTAAAAAATAGAAAAGATGTACGTAACTAGCAACAAAAACAAAAGTAGATATATATACTCTAGTAAGCAAGCAGTTTAATTAATTATAGTAATGGTAAACTTACTTGATGAAGTATTCGGAGACGGAGCCGGAAATAATGCGACCGAAAAATCCCCAAATGCTGGTGAGGGAGACGAAAATTGAAACATCAACATATCCCAGAGCTAATCCCATTTGCCCCAAATTGTTCATCACAGTCAAACCTGTTCCAACTCCACAAAGAAATGATACAAACAAGATCCAGAAATCCAGAGTCCTTATTGCCTCGAAAATTGTGTGATCTTCTCCAATAACAGGTGGTCGTTTCTCCACTACAGCTGGCACCGTATTTTCCTCCACTACAACAACCTCCTTTTTCTCAACTTCTTCTCTAACCGTTTCATCAACGCCCAGTAATGGCTCTGCAATATTGTTATTCCCTTCAACGTCCAAGTTCTCTGAATTTTCGCGGATAAAATTTTTCACCATAAGGTGAATCGGAATGAACAAAGGCAATGCTATAAGTACCAGAAGTATTGCAGCAAAAATTTGTGAAAAAACTTTGCCATGAGTACCGGAAATGTCAAATACTAACAAATATACCGCTATAATGACGGCAATTATGTTAATGACGCCGAAGTTTTTGACCTCTTCCTTTTCTTCTGCGGAAGTTGAGGAAGGTGGAATTTCACGGAGAAAGACAATCGCCGTGAGACAAACGGTAAAAGGAACTACGGCAAGTATGAGTAAGAAAGTAGCAGGATCGCTGGAAAATAACGCCGAACAAATATCAGTGAATATTGCCGTACTCAATCCAACATATCCTTTCAAAATTCCGGTTACAGGTCCCCTGTTTTTCCTGAAATTCCTTATACAGGTAACTAAAACGGCGGTGTTCATCCATGTAGTACTGTTACCTCCCATGCATAAAAATATACACATGACCCAGTAAGGAAGAGGTTTAATTGTACCACTAACGACAAGCCATTGAACACCGTAACCAATGAAACCTTCAATTCCTCCAATGAGAAGAATAACCGGAGTAGATAGACGGTCGGAGGCAAGTCCGGCGAGTATTCCGAACGCTTTTCCGACATCCTTAGCGACTGAGAGGTTGTTTAATTGGAGCTGAGTAAGTGCCATTAGAGACTTTAAAGCGTCCGAATAGTTAGAGAAAGTGTAATTATTGCCGGAAATTGCTTGTACCCAAACGGCAGCAACGAAGCCGAGCCATTTTCCGACCGGCGAATTGTAACTGAATACAAAAGTCATCAGAGTTTAAAGGAACTGAGAATTAAGATATTTAGGGAAACACAGATTTTTGGTTCAAATTTTCTGATTCAAAGAAGCAAAATAATTGGTTATTATATAGAGAATTAATAGACTTTTATTTTATTTTGATTAAAATTTGTTGCTGTCAAGTTGCACACTGTTGTTTCTACGAAGACACATACATATTGCCCATCGCTTTTGCAATTAGAAAAATAAAAAATATTTTTTTCTCTAATTTTTTTATTTTTTTATTTTTACGTTTGAGGTAAAGAATTGCTTGAAGAAGATTACGTACTGCACTTTGTTACAGGGTTGGTACTTGGTAGATCATAAATTCATAATACATACAAGTTCAATGATAGCATCAATCATTGGGGGTGAAATTATAGATGCCACATCCACGAATAAATATTTGCGTCTATTGTAAATTTATATCAAACTATTTATAATATAATATGATATGATATATTTATAAAACATTAGAAGAACGTGTAGTAAGGTCATGCGATATGTGTTTTGATACATATATTTTCCAACGTAACACACCCAAAAAGAAATGAGCATCTTCTCATCACTTTTTTCTTACAAGTTTGTTTAAGTGGTTGTTACGTATTGTTTTATAATCTATAGTAATATATATTTTTTTTAACTAGCAATATAATATTATACAATATGTAACAATCATCCAAACAAAATTTCCTCATTGTCCTCTATCTCATTTGATTAATTTAAATTTGCGTTGAAATTATTAAAGTATCAGAATGGAGGACTTTCGTAAGATAGTTATCGTTGATGTGACCAGACGATGAATCACCTTGTGTGAGGGCCGGATTGCACCGGGTTGTCATTGATTTCACTTTTCAGGACCAATATACCTTGAGTATCAATTAAAATATCCTTCACTTTCATTTCGATATTTAGTGAAAATGAATATTAGAAATTTAATACTGTATTGAATATGTTGTAAATGCATAGAAAAATCATATATATAACAATGAAAACTTTAATGGAACTCCATCTGTCAAACAATATTTGTCAATTATTGATTTTGCACACTTTTTAAGAATATAAATATAAATGTAATTTTACTACTTCTTTCGTTCAACAATAGTTGTCCGCTATACTAAAAATAGTTGTCCAACAATACTTGTCCAATTTAGAATTTAGAAAATAAGAGATAATTTACCTTTTGTGTCTATTTTACCTTTGCTATTAAATACTCCTTCTGTCCCTAATTACTTGTCCACTTTTGAATTGACACACTTATTACGAAAATAATTAATGACATAGTGAGTTTACCATTTTACCCCTATTAATTATGGAGTCGATGAAAAGTTCTACATTTTTCAAAGTAATTAGTCATTTAATTGAGGGTATAATAGGTAAAAAAAATTATTCTTTCTTGATTTGTCAAAATGGACAAGTAATTAGGGACAACTATAAAAGAGAAAGTAGACAAGTAATTAGAGACAGACAGAGTATTATTTATCATCTAACACATTTTTCAAAGCATTAAATTTAATAAAGTTAAATGATAATATAGTAATATTACCCCTATTATTTATTGCTTCTTAAGGGGTGTGTCAAGTAAATAATGGACAATTACTGTTGGACAGATGGAGTATATCACCATTTGAATATAATAAATACAATTTCTGAAAACCGTAATAAGGAATGACTATAATTAATAATAAGGTTAAATTAGGAACTAAGTGCAAAATTATTCATTGATTTCATAAAGTAGACAAATATTATTGAATATCTAAAAATAATATAGTAGACAACTATTATCGGAGAGAGCATTAAATATGAGACTTGTAATACCAACAAATAACAATACATGTGATTCCTCCCCCCTTTGATTTTGACTTTTATTCTCACTATATACTACTCCTAGATTAATTAGGCCTTACTCCTAATAATTAATTACTCTAACATGAAAATAAGGTCATATATGTAAGCGTAATAGATGCCTAATGTATGTGAGGTAGCTGGGTGAAAATTATTTTTACCCTTCAAATATAGTTTAAAAATCAAACTCACCGCTTAACCTTGAAAAAGAATCATTCTCCTCTTATCAAACAATTTCTGGTATAAATTGAATTGATTAATAAAAATAATAGATGGAGTTTAGATTGGCTTAGAATTTACTTGAAATGGTTTATTGTCAACTTGTACGGCATTTCCTACGTCTTAATTATAATAACTTCGTTTCATTTCACAATATTTCTTTGTCCAAACGGTGGGACGTAACTTCCCATAAAAGTATTTTGACTTTTGGATCATATATGTACAACACGTTCATAAATTTATTACGAATTTTGAAAATATTCTGATTTTGTGCACAATAAAATAGTGTCACATAAAGTAAAGCGTGAATGTAATAATTATGGACCCAAAATGTAACCTTCAAGTTCAAAAGATCTATAGTAGCGTTTACACAAATTTTTTGTATACAATAATCCTTTTTTTTTTATATAGAAATTCATAAGTTTTAAACTTTTGATTAACATATCTTGTGGTAAATGTCGATTAAAAAGTCAATTTTTGTATCAAATTCCAATTGAAAATTATCAAAATTTTGTAGGAGATAAGTTTTCCTTTTAAAGAGGTAGGTACAATTTCAAGAAGTAGCTACGAAAATAATTTATTTTTCTTATTTCCAAGTAATTGCATGAAGCATGTCGTGAGACCTTATTTTTCTTTCCACGATCGTGTATTGTCCCATTTAGGCATCGTGTATTGTTGAAAAATAAACAGCATGGATTAGTATTTAGTTCTATGAAAAATTAAATAAACAAACAAACAAAAATAGTTGGTTTATTTGTTCAACTATTATTTAGCTCAGTCAAAGACTCGTAATATCCTTATTATTATTACTAAGTGAAAAAGACGACAAATTAAAATGTCTTGAGGAATAAATATACGATAGAGTTATATAATAACATAAAAAGTACAGAATTTATATAACAATAGAGAAATTAGTGAAAGAAATTTATATAACATTTATAACATGATATGTTGTTATTTGTTAGTACATTTTAGCTACTCTTCTTATGTAACATTTCTTTATCTCAATTTACATGGTGTGCAAGTTGTTAATAAAGTAAATTATTGATAGGTTTTTTATGTTTGCCAGAAATCAAATCAACAAATAAGTAAATTTGGTACACAAGTTGTTGATAAGCTATGTGTGTTTAATAAGACATCTGCCTTATAAGTTAAAACTTATACGGCATGGCACCTTTTTTGCCATGCCTAAATTCACCAACCGACAGCTAAACTATACTCATGTGCTCCTTACTTGGTTTAAAATAAAAAATAAACCATCAAAGAAACAAATTTAATCACGATTCTTTATGAATTACAAATATAACTATGCACTCTATACTATATAATAATTACTCCGTAGATATCAAATTTTTATTGATAGTGACATACACTCTTGCTAGAAATCTGAATTCCGAAAAATATATACATTCTAGAAGCGGGGAATAATTAATTCGATTTTGATAGAGTATTTTCTGTTCTTGAAAAATTTAGTAGGCATTTGGTCATGCGATACCATATCATGATATGGAATCATGAGATGGAATTAGCGTTTGGACATGCAATTTCACGCTGATTTCATCTCACGATTTCATATCATGGGGTGGAATTCCATATTCTCCAAAAATCATGATATGGGAATTCCATATCATGATTTAAGATTATTGCATACAAAAATTGACCCAGAAGTTTATATTTTGTTAAAATAACCCCACATTTATATCTACTAACCATTTATTTCATATGTAAATAAAATTTATAATCACATCATTACTTTTTAAAATTTATTATTACTTTAAATTTGGTGAATTATAAATGATAAAGTAGAAATTAATTTGGTGAATATGAATAAGAACGATGGGATTAATACTTTCTTTGATTTTTCATAATAAAAAAAACGTCTCTTTAAATTTTTTAAAGCAATTTAATATGAAAAAAAAAGACAAAATTGGTGATGTATGTTTGATAATCACTACGTCCAATATGCTTGATTTTTAGCACGAAATTAATGCACTGAAAATGTGTAATTGCACACAAGTGAAAGAAGGCATGAATCATTATGATATTGACACACAAGTGAAAATTGTCATAGTTTGTGCAGTGTTACATAATTATTTGCGAGAATACTAAAGGAGTGATCAAATATTTATGGTCTATGAGCATGAAAATATATAGTTGCGAATGATATTAACCAACAAATGGCTCAAAGTAACAATGTTGGTTCGTCTTCTCGGTCATATGAGCGAAAAATGCAAGTTCAACATGAGGAGATTGTCCGTACTATGTGGAAAATTTATATTAAAGACTAATACACTAAAATTTATGTTTAATTTTTTTTTACTGAATTAAGTTAGATTAAACAATTACTTAAGTGGAGAACAAATAGTTTTATAATAATTTATTATGCGATTTTATAATTTTTTATTTTATTTGGTAAGATTGAATGTTATTAGGGTTATTTTAATAGTTTTACAACTTATGGGGTTCTCATGTTTATGAGGAAATATACAACACAAAAATTTCATATTGCATGTTCAAACAAAACTTCAATTTCGTCTCATGATATCATATTATGATATACCATATCATGATTTCATATCAAATAACCAAACAGTTCCTTAATGCGAGAGTGAGGCACACCACCAGCCTTCTCCTAACTCCAAAATTCAATTTCTCATATTATCCATCAGTACTAGTTAATTGAATTATTGTCTTTTTAAAGCTAATATAGAAAGAGAACGAATAAGCTAGTAATCTACTACCTTATTATCGAAATTAGAAAAGGCTTAGAAGTTTGCTGCGTATGAAACTAAACAACTAAAAAAAAACAAATTTTGAAGATCATAAATATGCGTGAATGGTGGTGTATTGATGTCTATTTATTTTCTCTTATGTGAAGTTATGAGTTTAAAATTATTAAGCATATTGCTTTTTTTAAGAATCATTTATTTGTTTTTAATGGATTTACAATCATTTAAATTTCATACAAATCTTTAAAATCATTCACGGATGATTATCAAAATCAACACCCATACACAACTAACATTATTAATCACTATCAATCACAAGAATTTTTTGAAATATTTTAATATGTATTTTTTTAAATTTATAACTTTAAATTATACATATTTGATACTGGAAAGGTAAATAGTCATTATCATATTGTCATATATTAATATAAAAATATTAAATATGAAATTTTTCCCAAAAT